GAGAGAGAGAGAGAGAGAGAGAGAGAGAGAGAGGTAAACTGTAAACAGAACAATGTGTGAAAGTATTAACCTGATCCATTCAACTGTCTAATATCACAATCCCTGCTGCGATAATCTAATCAAAATTAAATCGAAAGGTATAAAAGGCGCTAATGGTTGTTTGCTTTATTTCCAATAAATCATTACTTTCCCTTTTATTGTCAGTTATACAAAAACTTTTTTTCAAATCAACGCTGACCTTTAACATTATTCATCTACCTAATGAATAATTCATCATTCATTTTCATGCAATGTGTGTGTGTGTGTGTGTGTGTGTGTGTGTGTGTGTGTGTGTGTGTGTGTGTGCTATCACTAAAAAGAATTGTAAAATATTTTGCATATTATTTCTTTATTCATTATCACTATCTTTATTCATTTTATCATTGATATATGGAAATCAAATTATTCGATAAAAAACGATTTGGGAATGGAAGGCTTATGAGATGGATGGGAATGGAAGAGAAAATCTATGAGAAGGTTAGACCCATAGGCTATTCTTGCCGGTTGAGTAGCTTTGCAACTTTCCCAATAATGTTATTTATATTTACACTGCATGAAAAGTATCGTAATAAAGCTTATATAATTAATGTATGAAAAAGTTATTTGTCCTTAGCCTTAATATTTTAAATTCTGGGGAAAATTTCCATGCAAGTGGATTTTTGAGATTTAATTTAAGTAAGGATAAAAATTAATTTTAAGAAAGATATGTATTACGATTATATAAGTATCTGAAAATCTTACAGTACAAATGCTCATTTTTGGATAGTTAAAAAAAGAGTTTGTAATTTGATTATCAATTCCGATTTTTGGTTTTTTTTATGAGAAATGACAGGAATTTTATTGGAAAATTTCCTATTTAAAATATCAGTCAAATCAATTTATTTACTTGAAATATTAAGCTTTTTCATAGGTAGTCTCAACTATCACATTTCCCTTAAATCACCGATATTTCTTGAATTCTTGCAAGATTTAACTAACTGTTTTGTGAGTTTAATTACCAACAGAGAATATATTTCTCAGCTTATCACATTTCCCTTAAATCACTGATATTTAAGAAGGAGTCAAATTCTTCTTTTTATGAATTCGTAAATAGGTATTTAAACCTATTTGTATTTTTTACCATTAACTCCATTAAAGTTATTTTTTTCATTTCAATTTCACACTCACACACACACACACACACACACACACACACA